AAAAACAGGTTTGTGCCATAACATCACAAGAGAGAGGAAAACTCATCACCGTTGTGACAGCCATGAATGCTTCTGGTACTTTTGTTCCACCCTTAATAGTGTTTCTTCGTAAAAACATGTCGGCACATCTAATGGAGGGCACCTCCTGGATCAATATGGGCCTGTCATCCATCTAGATGGATTCAGACGGATAGTTTTACGAAGTGGTTTTCACATTTTGTTAAGTTTACTAAACCAACAAAAGATGATCCGATTTTGTTAGTTTTCGATGGACACTACTCCCACACGAGAAACATAAAAATCGTAGACATGGCCAGAGAAAATTATATTTCAATTATGTACTTCCCACCACATGCGACTAATAAAATGCAACCATTGGATGTGGGTTTCATGGCACCACTAAAAACGAATTACGCTCAAGAAATAGAGACGTTTCTCAAAAACAACCCAGGAAAAGTTGTGACACACAGCAACATTTGCTCACTATTTGGAAAAGCTTATAATCGGGCTGCAACAATGGAGGCATCGATTAATTCAATTAAAAAAACAGGCCTCTTTCCTTGCAACAGAAATGTTTTTAGGGACATCGACTTTTTGGGCGAAGAACAAAATCTGGCTTTACAAAAAATAATTGATATTGAAAATGAAGGAGATATACCAGCAGATATTTCAAGTAAGGACAAACATATTTCAAACATGTCCTCCGATTTAGTTGTGGATCTCCCTGCAGAGTCCGAAAAAGCTATGGTACTTCCATCAACATCATCAGGCTCTGCCAACATCAATAGGTCAGATAAAAGTGATAAACTTTTACTGGTCTCTCTAAAAGAAGTTTATCCAGTGCCGTCAAACTCTTCAAATTATGGTGCGAATTCTAATGAAAGAAAAGGCAAAGCAAGCTTAATAACATCTACTCCAAACTTGGAAGAATCCATTACCAAAAAACTAAACAAAAAATAAAGGTGTGAAACCACAATTTTCGGAAACAATACCTAGATAAAAAATCTAAAGCTAAAAGTACCAAAAAGGCTGAAATTACATCGAGCAGCTCAGATTCAGAAGCATCTGTGCATTATGATGACTCGACTGATGAGGAAAATTACAATGATGCTGAGTGTCGGTTTTGCCATGGAAGATTTTCCAAAGACACTCGTGGAGAAAAGTAGGCTAGATGTACCGTTTGTTTTCAGTGGTGTCACGAAGATTGCGGCGAGCTTGATGGCACACAATTTGTTTGCCCTATGTGCGAAAAAATAAAAGGAAAAAAAAGCTTTTGTTCGATTAGATTTTAGTGTTGTTACACTTTTGATCATCCTTTCGATTAGGTACATTTAAAATAAAGCAATAATTTTCTTTCAGTCCCTCTCTTTATTTTTTGTGTACCCTATTATGAGACAGTCTTTTATTAGGAACCCTACCCTATCTCATATTAGGGGACCAATTTTGAAAATAACAAAAACAACTTTTGAAAGTTACATTCTTGCCTATTTATTCAAAAAAATAAAAAGGTGTCTCAAAATAGGTTCCTTTCCTCTACAAATTATAATTAAATAAATTATTAAGGGACAATGGGGTATATTCTGTAACAATTCCTTTATATTTAACGGTCTTTAAAAATATTGGCGGCCTCTAAAAATATGTTCGTATTCGTTAATTTACTTCTGTCATTATTTAAACAGATTTCTTTAAGATAGTCCTCTAATGTATTTTAAAGATCCGGTTAAATAATGACAGAAGTAAAGAAGAAAATTATCTACTTATTATGTTATGATGAAAATTGAATTTCGTTATTGGGAATTTTTTTTTTAATGTTCATGACCGTATCGGTAACATTTTTAAACGGTAATAGCAGACAACCCAGCGAGACGTGTAACTCAATGTATTTTTTTTTTTTCGGTAAAAGTTGTTTGGGCGATTGTAACCACAACCAGTCTATGATGGCGCCACTAGTAAGTAGCGGGAGAATTAAAAATGCTTTAGGCCGGGAAATTCAAACATGGATTCAGAAATAAATAGTTTTTCTATACAAATTTACAGGAGAAACAAAAACTATTCTTTCACTGTATATTAAAAAATATAAAAGTTTCCAATAACATCAAATTTTTATCATATAAATAATCATTTTAATAAAGGAAGTTTTAATCAGTTTAATATAAGCAGGAACATAGTTTTTATTACTCTTGTAAATTTCGCTAAAAAAACTTGAAAGTTCTATTAATTATTAAATATTTAAACTTGGAAAAATAATACACCAAACTCTTTTTCTATAAATTATATTTTTGTAAGGTACAGAAAAACAAACTACAAATGCTACGTTTAGAAAGTACCTCGTATCATTTTGTGACAAATTACAAAGAAAGTAACAGTTGTTATATATTCATAATATATTTAAAAACTAATGTAACAAATATTTTATAAAGTATAGAGTATATCGATACCTTTTTGCCAGACTATCATAAGTGTCATTTGAACAAATGTCGCTTACGTTAGTCTGGCAAAAAGGTATCGATATGTTATGACTGTTTATTTTAATAGAAACCATGGAAACGAAACAAACACACACATACACTCAACACAAATGTATAAGGCCCTAGTCGAGTAAGTTCCCATCCTGTAAACTGGATCGAAACCTGCTAGACCCATTCCGTCCCCTGCTCCTCTTAGGGTCATCAAGATTAATAAATTTATATGCCATGCCTTCTAAAAGGGAATGAAGGATGACGTACCTACTATCATCATTTAAACAGGACGTTGCTGAAGGCTTACCCCTGTTATGTCGTTTGTTTGTGTATCTTGTTCATGTGCATTTCTGTTGTGTTCCCAGTCATGTAAAAGTTTTCCTAGTCTCCTAATTTGGTTACTAGGTGGACCTTTTCCAACTAGTCATCTAATCTATTCGATCTGTTCTGCAGCAGGAGGTACTTTTCAAACATAGCAAATAATAATATTAATAATAAATACATTTTTGTATTTTTTTGTCATTGCCCCTTGCCTATCTCATACACCACCAGGGTATACCTATTTTCCATATTCCCTTAATTATAGATTACCTTAGGTACAATGTTTGAGTGAATATAACATTTTACCCATGAAAAATCTAATTTCGAATTTAACTCTTTTTCAATTTCATTTGAAACAATTGGTATATTACAATTTATTATCAAGGAAATCTTCTAATAAAGTTATAGCAAATCCTACTTAAACTACTAACTTTTTTTGAGATTGATCTCTCTAAAATCCAAAACCGACCTGATGTCCCCAAATTTATTTTCGAATGCATCCTGATTTAAAATTCTGCCCTTTTGTGATTCAATTTTTTTCTTCGTTTAAATGACTCTACAATCTTCTAAGTGGCTATTAGAGGTAGGTGTATGTAAGAAATAGTCAATATCTACTTAATAATTTCAAAAGTCCTTTGCCAATGCTACATGTGTAGAGATTTTTTACACAGCATACATTTTACTTCTTTTCTAGTAGGTGGGAACTTTGTGATGCCATTAAAGCTGTCGAGACATTCATCTACCTACTTAATGAACAAAAGTACCTAGCTGTAACAATGGATCTCTGTTCCAATTCACCTAAAATAATTATAGCCATTTTGTAATATATTATTAAACACACACATTATACAGTGGTTTTCTTAATAAATTGGAAATTACTTACTTCTAGAAAGAAACGTGTACAAAAACGCGAGTTTGGTTCCAGAAATTGCTTCATGCAAAAAATAATATGCGAAAATAAACTTTCCCCCTCAAAGAAAATTAATTAAACAACAAAATCAGACTCAAAAAATAAACGGGGCCCAAATTAAATTAATTTTAATAAAATGCACACGTTCATAATAACATGCATGTCATTGTCAGTTTTAATTGATACGTCGACGTCAAAAAACCAGCAACATCAGCGACCTCTAAGATTGGTGTTAGTTTTATTGGAGAGAGATAAATATATGTAAAGATCAATGTAAAAGAGAAGGAAAGTCATATATGTAATTTAAATGGACCACCGAACAAATGTTCCTATTAAGTTACACGTCTCTGTTTCTCTGGTAATAGGTATCTAGCAAATATTACTGAGCAAATACATTGTCTACAATGATTAAATGGTATGTTAAATAAACAACAAGTATTAGAAATTAAAAATTTAAAAAAACCTACTTCAAACACGTGCAGATGCCATCACCACATCTTAACAAAATTTATATGGGACCACCCCTGAGGTACCCCCTTACTAGCAAAAAAAGAATCATATAAATCGGACAAGGGTGGTGAAGCATTATCGCTAAACATACATAAAAAAATGAAGAGTTTGAGGATGGACCCAATTATTAGATTTTGAACAAATTTATATGGGACCACCTCTGAAGTACCCCCTTTCCAACAAAAAAAGAATTATTAAAATCGGACACCGTGTTAAAGAATTATCGCTAAACATACATAAAAAAAAATATTGCGACGAATTGAGAACCCTCCTCCTTTTTTAAAGTCGGTTAATTAATTTATAACAGACCTAAAACATATCGCCCATCTCTCGATCAATCTGTTATCAGTTTTTATTGTTTTTCTTCGTCAATTATTATTGACTAGAAATACTATAAGTAATAAGTACTATATCTATTAATTACCTTATTCCCCGTTCGACTAAATACCTACAAGCTCTCGTTAAGCCGACCCTGTTTCCAAAAGTTAATTGATCTCTTGCCGATTTAAATTGGGAAAATAAAATTGTATTAAATATTTATCTAAACAAGAACAAATCAAATGTTCGTCCCGCCTTATTTCCCACCTTGATCCAACACTTTTACTATTGGTCAAATACAGAATTAACTATTTCGCACTAGCGGCATAAACTCTTCAGCTCGCTCGATTCCGTATGTTTGAGGTGCCCCATATTGTTGGCCGCTCCGTTTTTACGAAAACTAAATGACAGAACTACGATCGTGGTGGGGGCAGAAATGCACGTTCTGTGACGTGCCATGCGGAATCCTATCACCCTACTTACTCCGTTTCTGTCGGATTTACTAGTTAGTTCTTGTTTGTAAGTTGGTTATGTTAGAAGTGTGTGCTGTGTGAATTTTGACTTCTGTTAGTTTTTATATTTGACGATTGTGTTGATATTTTGGTTATTAGTTGTTTTATTGTGATTGGACTTCTTCTTGTGTGGGATTATGGGTAAGCTTTAATTTAAAACTTACATTTTAGTCGCTATAACGTGGTGTAATGTTATGTTTGACAGTTATTATGACATTTCGGTAAAAAGTTGTCAGTCAAAAGCTAAGTTGTCTTATACGTAGTGTTAGACACTTGTAATAGATTAATAAGATTAATCGAAAAATATTTGTAATTAGGTCAGTAGGTTCTTATATATTTTATGCAAAAAATAAACATTATTTGATTTGAGCGAATATGTACCCAAATTCACCTAATTAACATACCTACTCAGACAATCATTGTTTAATTTTTAAAACCCTTATAGGTACAAAGACAAGAATTTGTTTTAACTTCTTTTGTAGAAAATTATTACACCTATTTTAATGAACTCCCTACATACCTACGTAATTGTATTTTTATATTGCCATTGTTATTACCAGGAAATATAGGTATACATTTTCAATATGTTTTACATGCTAGTGTGGCATGTTTACTTAATAAGTAATAGTACTACTACTCTCCCTACAGTTCACCCTTTATCAATAAATCTCTGAAGCTAGGACAGCTATGATTATTTTTCGAGTCACTTCAGATGATTAATGGTGTTATTTAAATTACAGGTGAAGAAAATTACACCCACCATCATGTGTCATCCTAATCCTTTCTTGTTGCCTGTCCTATAGTTAGTAGGAACCGAATTGACTTGGTGTCCATTTCCAGATTTCTGTTGTTTTTGAATCACCACATTTTTCAGTTTCTTTTCTGTTTTATTTAGCTCCAGAGCCTCTTGAACAAGTGTTTTTCCCCGTTCTGTGTAAGTGGAGTTTAAGTATTTTGAACAATAACTCATGAATGGTTGCTTTTCAAAGCGAAAAATGTATTTTTCTAAAGTCTGACTCTTGTTCAACCCTTGATGTCTTTTATCTTCACGTTTTATCATGAAACAACTGAAGCCTGTAATTTATATATTTGTGTGTCCTCTTTTTGACTTATTTCGATTAAGTTAATTTTTTGTAAGGTAAAGTAGGTAGATACCTACCTACCCTTTTTACATTTTTTTGTCAGTTCTTTCCTTAGTATTATTTTTCCTGACTGTTTCTGTACCTTCTTTCTAATCACATACCTAAGTGTTTTTCATCTAAATAGGTACAAAACAAATAAGTTCCTTATGGTCTTTATATAAATTATATATAAATTTTTGAATAAACTGCTATATAGAGTAAATTTAGTCATGCAGTTAGTCCTCTACTTTTTATTCCTCTACCTTTTATTCCTCTACCTTTAATTCATCTACCTTTCCTACCACATCTCATATTATATATCCTATCCTATCTCCTTTTATAGCTTAAGCTCCTTCCCTCAGTTCTCAGTAGGTACTTTGCATTCTTTATTTTCTCATTTTCTAAAATTTGGTAACATATCTACCTACTTAACTCGTTTACACTTTTTCATCCAATTAAAAAAAAGAATGAGAAATCAGATTAGGCAATAAATTGTCACAACTCACTTACTGCGATAAATTTCTGCAATTTTAAAGCTTGTATTAGATTAGGCAATCAATTGCTAAATTTCACTTGTTAAAATAAATTGCTTATATGAAGAGATCAGTTGCTAATATAGCTACCAATTTTACATTTCAGATTAGGCAATAAATACCAAAGTTTACCATTTATGTACCTACCTATAGGTAATGTAATTATTTACCAATTTAGTTCAAATTAATTGGCTGGGTAAGAGGAAGAAGAAATTGGTGTTGAATGGATTTAATTATTTAGTTCTAGAATATTTCAAATATAACTAAATTCAAACTGATAAACAACAATTACAGAAAAATCTACAAAGTAATTTTTTTCGTTTATAGTGGCCAAAGTATCTGTGATTGTTTTTGTTTACAATTTTATTGTGCTCTTTAAATTTTATTTAGATCTCGATAACTTTAGACCTAGTTATTTAATTCTGATAAAAAACCTCTAGCGTTTGAAACCGCTAAATTTTCACTAGATGACCACGATATCATTTCAATTCATTACTTACCATTGATTTAGCAAGGCAGTTGCTGTAATAAAGAGCATCACTGCTCTGGCTTTGTAGAAATGCAAACTATTTGGTACAGTTATGCAGATTTACAGCACTTATGCTCCAACCGCCACGCTTTAAGTTACTTTTTTCTCATCATCGTTTTTTGGAAAATGACGTATTCTATTGCCAAGAAAGCCAAGTAGGTCATTGGATCCGTAATTTCAATTATGATAAAGTGCAAAATGAACTCGTGGCTTTCTCAGGTTCAACTATTTAACTCTCTAGTCACAAGCGTTGTAACCAATTGCATCATACTTGTTTGGGGTCTTGGATATGTCGAGGTACTAGAAAGAATTCAGCTCATTTTTTTATTTAAATATTCTTTTACTACTTCAAACTACTTACAGCTGACTTTACAGTCCATTTAGAGATAAGAAGAATTAAAGTATCAAACTGCATTATGCTGATTCATTAAAATCTTAGAAATGGACAACAATCGCTTTCCTAAACTTTTTTTATTACGCCAAATCAGTTTAGCTAATAAAGAGACATTGCAAATTCACTTAAGGTCAGCCACTATTAGCGCCGCTTTTACTTTGACATCTGAGCATGTGCAGATCGTTTAAGTTCTATTAAAGATACTGACTACTCTAGAGAGTGGTCTCGCTAAGATGTTGGAAAGAAGAACATGCCTTATGCCGAAAGGTAGGTGGGTAAGCTGCGGGAGATGTGTGTTAAAACACCTATGTCGTCTTTCGCCGCAAGTCAGGCTTCATGTCCTTAATTGTGGATGTTTAAGAGCAGCAAATAGTGGCGACTTTATTTATTTTGCTTTCGGATGCGCTCGTCGAGATTCATATCAATTCGAAGTTTTTTAATATTACAAATTTAATATCAGCATCTAAATCCTCTATTTCTAATGCCAATTCTATATTATGTACTATTATACAACAACAAAGATTAATTATAATTTAAAGTTTTCAAAATGAAGTTAGAAATATGTATACGGACAAGGATTCTAATGTCAAAACGTCAGGTTTGCAAAAGTTTTATTTTAGCATGGAATTTATTTGTTTTTAATTATGTTGCCCACTATTGGTGGGTGACGTTCATGCAGTGTCGGATTAAGACACCTTTTTCATGGTCCGATTTTCATTGAAGAGCAAAAAAATTAAGGCCCACTGCCTGAACGGGCCCACTTCGCTTGAACGAGGGCCTACAGGTCTTTTGACCGGTAGATTGACGGCACAATCCGATACTACGTTCATGTAACGTTAGGTCTTAGACTAGGTAATAAAGAGAGGACTCGTAACATGTAGGAAATAAAAAACGAACTTGTATTTATGTTATTAGTACTTCATTGATCTTTTTAGGTATAAAGCAAGTTCAAAGCGTAAAATTTAAAATAAATAAGTAACAATAAATAAGACACAAAAAATATATAGAAATAAACTGAATGAAATCGTTTGCATAATAAAATGAGTGTTTTTATTTAAATTCCGCAAAATAAAACATAATGACTTACATTTATTACAAAAAGATTTATTTTTACTTAATAAAGAATGACACTACCCAGATAGCACAGACACGTTTTAAAGACATCTTAAATATGTTTTAAGTACCAGGACGTTTGGACGAAAGTAAGCCATGAACTGGACGTCTTTAAGATGTAGTGTGCTCTGGATATTATTAAATTAAGCTAGTAAAAAAAATTATACATAAATGAAGATAACTTTATTAGTGACCCTTAAATAATACTAATTTGGTACAATAAAAAGAAGTTTTAGCGAACAACTCTTTTTTTTATGTTTTAAGTTTTTGTTTAAGAACTTTGATTTGTCTTGTTTTTTTCTTTATTCTTTTCTACCTATTGTAAAAGTTGTCTTCTAAGCCGTTTTATGCTAAGGCTTTCTAGGAGAGATTCCTTATTTAAAGGTCTATTTGATGGGCCTGGCTTAGCTTCCAAATGCAATGCTCTTCTTTTTAAGTACTACAAACAATCAATTATTACGGTAATGTTTTGAATTATACACAAAAGGGTTGCTAAATTCTTAAAAGTTCATAACATAATAATGAAAAGTAATTAAAAAAATATATATGTTTAATTATGTTTATTAGTATACACACCTTCTTCGGCTGCATGTATTTAGAGAATTCAGGAAATATAGTGGGAACTGCTCCATTTAGTAAACGTCTTTTACAGTCCGTCCCATAAAAAAATGTCTTTCAAAATGTTTTGAACACTATCTATCATTTAGCGTAGGCATCCAATTTGCAATTTTTGTTGCCTGAATCCAAAGATTTTTTTTGCTGGATCCACAGGAAATTTAAAATAAAACAACAAATAAACATTGCTGCAATTAAATAAGCAAAAGTAAATTAGGATTTAATAAAAGTTAATATTTGGAATTGTACGACACGCAACTGGAAAAAAATTACGTTTGGCCATTTTAATATCATTAATTGTTTAAATATCAATGAAAAGCATAAAATAAACAAACAAACTTGCTGGGTGAAATTTGATACTCTGGAGTGAGACATGTAAATACCAAGTTGTATAACACCAAATAAAATAAAAAATATAAGAAAATATGTAAAGTGAAAACGATTGATGTTTATCATTTACCTGTAAAACGTAATATCTGCTTATTTCTTGCCGCTATAACTTTAATACTGATATGAAACACAATAAACCATTGTAATAAACCAATTATTAAATTTCGTTTAATTCAAAAATCAGAAATAAACACGAACAAAAACTTTGGTGTCACCGAAATGATTAGCACCAAAATAATGGCGGCCAGCAGATACCTAATCGGCACAGAATACTACGTGTGCTCGATATACCTACTTGTGTCGCGTCCTCTCTTTGTTACCTAGTCTAAGCGTTAGGTATAGAAATTTGCAAAATCTCTCTAATAATAATGATGTTGACATCGAGGTTGACATTAAAATAATATAATTGGACAAGTCAGTTTAAGTAGCAGCTTAAATATGGAGGA